AGAAAACTTCAAAGAGGTCATTCGTCACATCGATCCGATGGTCAAGTGGGAGTCGATGAATAAGGCTGTGCAAGACTTTGTAACTGGAGTTCTTCACGACGACCCGTCAGCCGACGAGGCACACGCAGCAGCGAGTCGTCGTGATCCGGATTTGGGACGATTCGTCCGCGTCATGTTGACCAAGATTTCGGAATACGAGCATCTTCTTGAACAACAGAATGTCGAGATCGCGAACTTGAAGCTTCCGCACGGTCGGGTCAAACCCAGAACCACGGAAATCATCGAAACCAGGGACTACAAAGACGCTTCTGATCGAATGCACAACATGGGCTTTGTGATGCAGTCTGTATTCGAGTACGCCTACAAGGGCTTCCACCACCGAGAGAATGTCAGTCCCGAGGAGGAAAACTACATGAAATACCTCTGCACACTGTACGCGCGTATCGCACAGGTCATAGAGTTGGGCTGGAAAGATGAGAAAAAGAAGAACGTGGGAGAACGCCCTTTGCGATCCGACTTCCACACCAACCACGTCGAGTTCAACGGGGAGGACGGTATGTACTTGACGACGGTGATCGAGGTAGCGCAAGAGGTGAAGGACGATGAAAGATGCGTCGACACTTGGAAGAACCCGCATGGAATCACGGCAGGCCTGGAGGAACTGATGAAGGCCGCGCAGCTGTAGGGCGACTTGGATGGAGAGAGGACGAGGTCGTGCATGTGAGATGATCGCGGGATGAAGTCGTTGAAGGACCGTTCGTAGTTGATCTGGAGGCCGTAGTTGAATGAGAAGAGCACCCGTGCTACTCCCATGCTCCAACCGAAAGTTGCTTCAACGCAAGGTACCAGTTGTCCGCTTGCGTCTTGGAGCCTGCCGTTATGTAGACCCTGTGAACTGAGTCCTTGGCCGGCGATTTATGTCGTAAGGCCACAACGCAATCCGACTGCCATGAGACGAGCATGTCTTTTAACAATAGCTGTGAGGGTATGGTCTTCCCTCGTTCGCTATCATCTTCCACTCGCAAGACCAGTCGCTGGTGTGATGCATCCAGTGAGGCGAGCACTTGAATCGATAGAGCGCGATCGACGACCGGTGACGTCGAAGCATACAAGCGATGATGAGATGGCGATGCCGATAGTAACGGAAGAAGAGTCTTTGGGTCGGTATGACGTTCCATTAGGTCAACAGGGCGCGGCAACTCTGCGCAGGCCTGCCAGATTATCGATTGACAGCGAGCTATTGGTAGCCAATCTGGTGGATCGTCTAATATCTGCCTGTGAGAAGAGGGCTTCAGTGAGATGGTAGGATCGATTGCTTGAACAGCTAATGGTGGTATGGCTTCCTTCAAGTGCTTCAGAAACCCAGCGGTTGTTTGCGCGGTCATAATCACGACACGATGGCAGCAATGAGTGGGTGGTAAACAGATTTTATATCAAGTGTGAAGTGTGTAGATCGCTCAACAGTGGGCAGATGGCGGAATCAAGCGTAACAGTGTCGCCCTCCAACGTTGGGTTGATTGTGAGGCCGAGGTAGTTGTGCGATGAGTGGACGCTAAACTGGTAGTGGCTAGACACCTGCAGGGACCAATACCGGCTGTGAGCGTCACGACGCGTAACAAAGGCCCTATCAATCGAATGCAAGACCAGCTACTTACAACGAGGAAACAGTTCTTAAAGCGCTTTCATCCCTGACCGTGATCATGGCATTCCCATGTGCTTTTCGACATGGCCCTCTCCCGAGCCGACGCCTTCAGAGTCGCCAGGAGGGCCACGCAGCTGACGTGCGACGCGATTGAAGATGAGCTCTGTCGACGCGACGTACTTGAGAAAGATATGCAGGATCAGTTGGAGGGTCTCGAAAGACGCAAAAAAGAGTTTGAACGCAGGGTCGAAGAGAGTAATACCCATATCATGAGATTGGAAGAGGACAACCGACAGCTAGGGCATAAACTCGGCGAACTACCCATCCAACTCGACGCAGCCAGGAAAGACGCCACTAGCGAGATGAACGAGTCGTTGAAGAAAGCCCGTCAGGCACTTTTCCGTCACATCAATCCGGTCCTGCTTTACTGCCGCGTGCGGCCCAAGTTGCCCGCCCAAGGATCTGCCAACAAAGCACCGTCGCAGTCCATCTCGAAATGGAAGTGGAACGACTTCTCTATCATCAACGGAGCGGGCGAAGCCTACAGCTTCTGGCGTGTCTTTGGCCCCCATTGCCCTACTGCCAACGTCTTCGATGAACTCGAACCGATGATCCAGACCGCTTTACACGGACAGCACATCGTGCTCATCACTTATGGCGAAACGCAATCCGGAAAAACGCACACTACCATAGAGCCTAACGCAGCTGATCCCTCACTTCTTGATCGCTTTGCTGCTCTCGCTTTCCCCCAATACCAGATCCACGTCTCTTTCGTGGAGGTGTGCTGCAACATGCCTCATGATCTACTGAGACGTGAGGAAGGCAAGCTTGTAGTAGGCAACAGCGAGTCTTCGCGGGCCGATGTGTTTCTGTATTCCAACACAGGCCTCTACTTCCGCTACCAAGGAAAAGGCGGCGGGTACATGACACCCACGGTGTGCGACTCCACCGAAGAACTTAAGAAGCTACGAAATGAATCTATCCGGCGCCGCGCCAAACATCATGACAAACCTACGTCTTCTCGTGGCCCTTCCTGGCTCGAGCTTCGGGTACACGATCGCAATGACGGTACGCTTAGGGGCATCCTTACCATCGTCGACCTCATGGGCGCGGAAGACTCTGCCAACCAGCTAGGTAAACACAAGAAAGAAGCAGAGACAGGCCGAACGGTCAACTACAAGGTGTCAGAGTATCTGAAGAGTCTGCGCGACCAGCATCGAGTTGCCCGACCTTCCACACTACCCGACCGTACCCCCACACGCAGAAGCAACGCTCATCGTGAGCATCCCGACAACTTCATGCGTATTCTGATCCCCAGTTTCGAGGGTCAAATACTCGACTCGCCAGACCTGCCGCGCGTCGCTGTCCTGGCGCATATATACGAAGCTGCAGAACATGAGAAGCAAAACCAGACCACCATGGACGTGATGGAGGAATGGCGGACCAACCTGTTGGATGAAAAGAGCAGAAATGGAACGCAAGAAGCATGCAACGAATGCGAAGCAAAGGATAGAGAGAGTGCGCTTCTAAAGCAACAGATGTACGAGTTAGAAGTCGAGAGAGAATCTTGCAGCGAGCTAGAGGATGTGCCGCGCGATGTGAAAGAAGAGAAGTCTTTGAGGGAACGCTTCGCCGAGCAGGCGAAGTAGATATGAGTCCATCGCAGCCTTTTCCGCATGTATGACAAAATGAACCCCATGTCGTGTTCATGCTCCTTTGCAGCCGTCTGGTGTTGTAGTAGTCTGAAAATTCTCGACAGGAGGCCAGTCCTCAGATCATGTGATTCGATCGATGCCGATGATTCACTCGCTCAATGTGCACTAACAAGTCCAAATATCCAGCACCAAACTTCCTATGCTTGATAACTTCTTTTTGTATGTAAACAGTGATGAGAGCCCGGCAAGCACAGTGGAGAAGGGCGGTACCTACAAAAGCTAACGTAATGCTTCCAGTCAGAACTCAAGACAACATCTCTCGAATACACACAACCAACTTGATCGTACCAAGGACCAGGGAAGCAAGATGAACCAAACAAATTATACAATCCTAGGGAGCCAGGTGCTCCACGACGCCCACGAGCCGGGCACGCAGTTCGCATTACTCATTGACTTTCTTCTTTTGGTCAACATGCTATCTTATACTTTACACCACACATCACGAACCCTCTCTTACTTCAGGATATCCCTACATGAATATCTCATACAAACTGCCAGAGGTCTGGATGTCTGGATCGATAAAAAGTCAGGACTAGACAAACCGGCGGAGGGTTATGAAGACTTATCGGGGTTCAGGGGGTTGATGCTGGACATCGCCAAGAGCATGGAAGTTGTGGCGCACATAAGCAATTTTTGTTTTGTTGTTGCCAGTATCGCCTTGGGGTTTGGCATCGACGTCGACCGCGGTACTGTACGCATGTGTATACTTTGTAGCTGCATGGCTATTATGGTCTACGCAATGGTCGAAGCATCTGTGTTGCGTCGTCTCAATCTCCCGGAAGAGATACGCATTGAAGGAAGTAGGATGGAGCGCTCCATGCTTTTGCCAGCGCTTCGGCTAGACGAGCATCCAACCCGTTCAAAGGATGATACTTCTTCCACCACGATCTCCATATCACAAGCCGAGACGAAAGAGAAGACGGAAGCGCAATGGATACCTGTAGAAGGGGACTTCGGCACGGCTTGGGGCAGACGTCCCGGAGGATCGCAATGATTCAGAATCGGGCGTTACGTTCAGCAAAGTGCTGGAATTTCTCTGATGCCCGTGTAGCTGATCATGGGTCAGAGCGATGACGGAGAAATTGCGTAGTAGATCTACGCTATCTTACTCATCGGCAGCTCTTCATGATCTGTTATCGAGTTTGTCCGCTGTTGAGGCCATACACGACGATTGTCGTACCGAATTTCCGGAAGGGTGTTAAACCGCACAACCTACATTGACGTAGCATTCTCAATTAGTATAGCGTCAAATCAAATTACCTACTGCAAGAGCTTTCCTTGATCGTAACCGTATGCAATGTGAGTTCTGGTCGTAATTGATCCGTCAGATATTGGCGACCTCGGGATGTTGAAGGTTTGTCCAGCTTTCCTGGGTTCAGTCATGTGCGCCGTACCATGCCCATGATGGTGATAAGAGTCTCGCAGTCGGCATTAATAGGTATGCCAGTGAATTTCCAGGCAGCAGTGTGCTGGAACAATGTGGGCCGTGGTCGCTTCCTTCGTCGCAGTACCTGGCGCGCGCAAGTCGCGTAAAGGTCTTGGCACGATTAGTCGAGCTTGCGCAACCTGAACCCCACCCTTCGCTCCCACCACGGTCGCCTTGTGCAATCTCTACTGTCACAACTCTTTCGAAAACACTCACGATGCCCCCAAAGAAGAACGCTGGGCTTCAACGGCACACTGCCGACATTGATGTCACCGCCGTCCCGGCGCGAAGGCAGCGCGGGCGACCACGAAAGATCATGGAGGATGCGCCCATAGCTTCGCTCAGCTCTCATCTACCCAAGCGACGTGGGCGTCCGCCCAAAGTCAGGTCAGTCGAGCAATCGCCTGCTGCAGTCCCTGCAGTCCCGGAGAAGCGTGATCGACCCCAGGAGAAGGCCCAAGACGACTCGTCAATCATCTTGTTAGGCTACTCCAGGCCACCGAATCCGCAGACGCAACCGGCAGAGAGCGCCCCAGAGAAACAAAGTAGAGGTTTACCAGTCATTCCAGCTCCCGCGGTTCCCAAGAAGCGAGGCCGACCGCCGAAAGTTGCGCCAGAATCGGAAGCTCCACCAGCTGATTCGATTCCCCTGATACCGCGAAAACAAGGTCGTCCGCGGAAAGCCATCACCGAGAAGGAAGCTGCTGCTCCAGCCATTGCAATCGCGACGATACCAAAGAAGCGCGGCCGCCCTTCGAATGTCGCCAAGGCTGAAGCATTTGGAATTACTGCGGCCGTCCCAGTATCCACGGGCGTAAAGAAGAGAGGCCGGCCTCAGAAGCTCGTCCCGGCAGGTGAGCAACTTCCGCCAGTTGCGCTAGCTCGGAAGCGCGGGCGGCCGCCCAAGGTACCGATGCAAACTGAGCAGCCGCTCGATCCGATACAGGATCTAGATCCGGTGGCAGGGGAGCCTACTGATAAGGGCGCGGTGTCTTCCATGATCATTGCTGATCCATTCTCTGACAACGAGGATGTGCAGCCTGCGAAGCGCAGAAGAATGCATCATAGGCAGAGACCAGGCGTTGTCGAGCCTGTTCCCGAAGACGAGCGGCCAAGCTGGGGTACCAGATTCGTTGATGAACTTGGAGAGCATGCTAAGATAGGCGATCGGCGCGGTTCGCCGTCACGGAAGGAGAATATTCCGGGGGACATTGTTGCGGAGTTTGAGGACAGCGAGGACGAGACGTATCATACTCCAAAGTCGAGTGGAGTGAACACTCGACACTACCATGAAGACTCCGTCGTCAGCTTCTTCGATCCGGACGTTGTAAATGATGGAAGCTCACAGGCCGTGATCTATGAGGATGTTGATATGGGCGCCATCGATGTTGCCGAGCAGGACGTCGATGGGATGCGACTTGCAGAAGAGGCGGGGATGTTGTCGCAAGAAGAGGTAGTTAACCCTAGAGGCGCCCATCGCGACCATTGGCCAAGCAAAATCCAATGCGAGAAGCGTCCCATTTCCACCCCGCAAAGATCCCGCGAAATTCCAGAGACTCAGGAAGAACAGACATATCCCAGAAACATCCACCAGCTTGCGGAGGTCAGCCAACCTGTGCCAGATACAGCGCGAACAGCGCAAACCGCCACGACCAGCGTCCAAGCAGATTCAAGGCCCTCACAAACCTTGCTAGACTACATCGACCGCCAGACTGCCTTTTTGTCAGTCCCAACGGCACCACTTCATCCAGTATACTTAAGATCTCCGCAGTACCTCCAGATCGCCGTACCAGACATTGATGCCGCAGCTCATCGGGGGACGCTGATCGGGCCTTTGGTTGTTCAGCACGACGAGTCTCGATATCGCATTGCAGTGCATGTAGTGCGAGAGAAGAGACCTGATATCGCGTAGTCGTAGCATGGTAGAAGGGGTGCTTGTGATTCAGAGAGGGGTACAATGGTGCGAGTGAATATGACGAGCTAGTTGCGGGACTGGCGTTGAGGGTTCCGGGTCGCGGAGGAGGAGTGGATCCTTAGTATCGAAGACAAAGTCGAAAGGGTTGGAGAAAGGTCAATCGGGATATCGGATTCGGCCGCTGGAAGTGGAGTATCGGATGTCGTATGCTGTTCGTTCGAAATGGAGAGACCTATAGAACGCGAGAATATGTGTGCATTCAATTTCCTCTCTTATTGCATATGTGGAGGATGAAGTGACAGTGGGTGAATAGAACTCATCTTTGGGTACCCTTAGAAAGGAGCGAGACATCCTGAAAACCGGAGGTTTCCACCAACAGATTCCTGCACTCACTCGCCATCGCACAGAAGTGTGAGACAGAAGACCACAGTATCAGAAGATGCACATCCAGCCGGGGGCGGTATCCCGCGACCAGATACTCCCCGGCGTGCCAACTTCTGTCTCCACGTTGCGCCTCGCCCTCATGTGCCTACGCACTTCAATCTCGACGGGCCTCAGTATGAGAGCAACGGCATCATGATGCTCAGCGTATCAATCGCGCGGTATCGGTCGCGTTCGTGGTCCTTAGCCGGGGACTCGAGCTGCGCTGCGTGCAAGTATTGGAAGAGGGTACTAAAAGAACAGTCAGCATTAATCGTCTGGTATTGGGCGAGGATTTCCTCACGGTATTGGGCGGACCTCGAATATTGCTAGCATCTTTCGAGCCAAAGACTCATCCTGAAGTCTGAACAGCGGGAGGTGCACGCGCCCAAGGATGGTGTATTGTGCCGCTGTCTCCGGTTGCGCCACCACCGCCAGATCGTACCATGTCCGGATTCTGCGCGACTGGAGTTGATCGCTCCTATGTCTTCCATCTCGTCGCACCCATGGTGTTTTATTAGTACATCTCCTTGCTGTATGCACCCTTCTTCATCGGCGCATCCCCATTTCCAAGCCAACAAGTGTCTTGTGCCATCCAAAAGGCCTTGCGCCCCTGCTCACATGACTTCGCTCGCAACTCCAGGCAGTCCGACAACTTCGAGCATGCTGCCTGTCGTGTTCCACCACCAGCTACAATCGAAGAAGATATCCCAGGGCATTGCGGCCGAAAGCAGATGTTCACGCGGTAACGTTGCGCCATAGCTCCGGCTCATGCGTGCGTTCATGCGGTAACCCAATGCGTGTGAGGAGTATGGGACTCTCGCAAGGTGTATCGGTGTTTATCGCTCGCGTGGGGCTTCGTTGCGAAGGGGCCGGAGGGCATGGCGTAGGGTCTTGACAGTGTTATTGCGACAGGCTCGTGGTGGACGGGGATGCTCTCATCGAGTCACAGCATGCGACATCGCGAGTGGTCTCCGAGTGAGTGAGGATGTTGTATGAGGGGCGCTGGGTTCGACCATGCGAAGGATGCCTCGAATGGGGGCTTGCATACTGTCATTCCTAGCGTCGCTTGTGGTGGCTATAGACCCGTCATGCGGATTGCGGACGTCATGTAGACATTAACCGGGCAAGATGCAAGGTGTTTGGAAAAGAATGCCGGTTCTGTTGTGTGAGGGAAGACTCGTTGGCGTGGCTGGAGTAGTTGATGATGACGATGATGCCGTCTGAGGGACGCTAGATCGGGGGATCCTTGGCGCGGGAGCTGTCATGTCCGGTGACGCCGGTGGTGACAGCGAACGCCATGCAGATATCACCCGGGCGCAATTGGTGTACATGATACATTAGAGATTGAATATTGTCTTGAAGCCACTCTAGATGCTGTGGTATCTCGTCGCAGATCGCCCTGATGTTTCCCCAATATGGTGTCTTCAGGCAGTGGGAGAAGGAGGGAATTGAGACGTAACAGCAATGTCAGATATCGGATGTGAAAACTTGCATGATAATATGAACGAGCGTCAGATTTGGGTTAGTCGGAAACATCAAGAAGAAAAGCCATTTGGTCGTGGTAGTGCGTATGCTCATGCCCTAGTAAGCATGACCGCGCATCTGATGTTTATTCCCAACTTAGCCGTTCTACACACAGCAGCCTCCCTCCGCACACGATCTAATCTAGCCACTTGACTTAACCTAATCTCTAATTCTTCCTGTACTTGTGTGTCCATGCCCACGTTTATGCGAAATTCCGGTTGGGTGGAATGCCCGACGATCGTTTTACACCAGGAGCTGCCGCCCGTGACGGCCCTCTCCCACACCCGGTCGTACTACATCCGCGTTCCGTTGTATATAAGAATGTGATCTTCGTTGCAGCCTCATCGTTTATGTCTTTGGGGCTCTTGACTATGCTTTCATACGTGGACAGAGAGTACGTTTACGGAAGCGTTTGGTGAATATCGCGCGGTATCGACTGCGTTTGAGTGGGGAAAAGACCGTAAGTATTATGTGAACACCCTTATTGCGCATTAGCTCGTGGAATGGTAAAAGGGGATGGAAGGAGTGTACCGGCCACTTGGCCCCACATCTTCGCTTCTCCGCCGTCGATCTCGACTTGATCATGGCAGGCTTGGGTGACATCTCGCTGATGTAGTGCTGGTGGACAGACGTGCTCCTGATTGGTCGATGTGAATGGGATGACCCAGCGAAATTGATTTGCGTTCATGCGTCTGGCACCAAGGCTGCATGTGGTTGTGGCGGTTCATCCCCAAGATATGAGATCGGATGCAGTTGTCGTGATTACCAGCGTGGTGCGAGGCCGGCCTGCTGTGTGTTCGACGACTAAGAGAAGAGGTCGGGCTGGCAAGGTGAGTTGCACAGCGCCTCCTCATTTTCCCTTTCTACCATGCCATCCAGAACGAGGTACGCTATCGGCATGACCTGGTCTGGTGAAGAAGTCGCGCTTGAGGTGGGCCGCGGCGTTGGATCGTGTATCTTCAGCCGGTGTCGATGTCGTGGGAGAGGAGGTTGTCCGGTGTTGATTTTACATCTGCTCCTAGGCAGGATCGATTGGAAGAGGTGTATTGGAGCAACGAAGGCATCTGAGTGGGCGGGACTCGTCTTCTCACCGCGGCGGTGGGTCTTCACTGGCCTGATTTGTCGAGGTCAACACGATGAAGTCAGCCGTATCGATGGCTACCGAAGATGACGATAGAGGATGGTACCGCGCGCGTCTGCAATGGCTGCCGGGGGAGTGGAGTGGTAGAGATACTATGGTGTATTGGTGGAGGGACAGAACACAGGCGGCGTTGTTATCGCCGGGCGGGTGTGCCGTCTTAACTCCGGGCGTCCTCACCCATCAGCCTGCGCTGGGTCGGTACGCCATCCACGACCTCGCGCGAATCCAGCTGCGCATCGCTTTTGCGATGTCGCAATAGCTGAGTTGGCATCGCATTGGAGGTGCCATCACGTGCAGCCACCTCTTGCAAGACACCGCCCAGAATGCGGCTCCGGGTGTTGAGGCCCGCGATGTGCTGTGCGACCTTCCGTATTGGCCGTATAGTTTCGTTAAGGGTCGCCCTTTGACAACAGACACGCAGACCCTCACCCACGCCGCTGTGGAGCCCCGACGCTCTCCATGCACGCCACGACTGCACATTCCTGATACCCAGACTCCTGCACTCTGCGCATATGTGCTGCTTCGGTCGCAAGCGCTCTGCGACTATCAAAGACAGACCACGGTACCAAACATGCGCTTCGTCGGCCTTCTCCCTGACTGACAGCTCCAGGACCGCGTCGTCCACCGCAGACTGCAATGTGCGCCTCGATACCCCGAGATCTGGCCAGCCCAATCCCTCCTTCTCGACTGAATCGCACCTCACCGACACGCCGGAGCAAATCATAGAGCGGGTGGGCGGCCGGCTCGTCATCCCATACCCCGAACAGGACGGCTGGCACGAAGGGCTGAATTGGCGCGACAAACGAGACACTGAGGATCTGGTGACTCCCGACTACCAGAGGGACCTGGGGGCGGACTGGGACAAGGAGTATGAGGCCCTGGCTGGATACAGAGAGCCGGAACGGCAGCCATCAGGCGGCAAGAAGACGGCGCCGGCGGACAGCTTTGCGACGCTCAACCCGCCCGGACGCGCTGAAGGGAGTCAGGGTGTCCGGCTAGAGGCAACAGTGAGATCTCTCGTCCCCTCTTGACCTGGCATCCAAGTTGACCATCTCTTTCCAGCCAGCGCACCAGCTCGCGCCCTCCGCCTTCGGCGCATCGACCGCACACTTTAGTCATGACTCGAGCATGACCACATCAACACCAGCTCAACACAGAACGGGCTGAGGTATGATACGCAGGGGGGGGGGAGAGGACGTCGCGCGGCATACGCTCGATCAGGGCATTGCTCAATGCGAATTTTTTCCCGTAGAGTACTGCAGTAGAGGGGCGGCGGATATATAGACGTGGCAGCGATATTGCAAAGTTTAGAGGGATCAGGGCAGTAATGGGCACACGGGTATATCTCGGGGCTATCGAAATCTGTTCTTCACGCGGCGCTTCGTTACCACAACGGGCTACAGTGCAATGCAGAGCATCCTGAATAGGTACGCGGACCGGTCCGAGGTTGCGGGACTCCTCTCGCTCGCGCAGGCTGCAGTAGTGTAACTGGTGGCATCTTGTGTTGCTTGTCGTCCAATCCTCGCTCGTGATGTCAGCATTTTGGGTGGGTGCGGCCACGCTAGATCCACGTGGCTTCTCTGTGGTTCTTCAAGCCTCACGTCATCACTCAACTACACCTCATCACAGCTTTGTTGAGTCTCCTGTCTTCTGCGTATCGTGCCACACCACACGCAATATCACAGCGCACGTCGATAACACGGGTAGCTGGCCTTTCAGATGTTTGTGTCGAGGTGGTCGAATCGGGTGCCATGCCACCAGCCACCAGCCACTGCCTACAAATGGCTACACAAGTTGTCCGAGCAAATTTACCTGGGCAGAAACGTCACGAGTACCAAGCTGAGAGGATATAAGTTCATCATCGGCACGAAGAGGTCTGTTTAGCGAGCTTTGACACATACTGATCGCCGTCGGCCGGCATTTTGGCTGGCTGGCTGAGTAGGTGCATACGTTCCATCGGCCATCGAAACTCTCGAAACTACAGGAGTGTTACACACTCCCGACCCTTGAGGCTCGCTCATCCGCTAGACTGCGTGCCCTTTCTCATCCGCTAGGAGCTTCACAACAGCCGTATAGCGCGATAACGAAGTACACAGGCCTCTAGTTCGAACATCTGATTCATCATGCCTGAAGGATCTCAAGACTTCCACATTATTCGCATCTTCTTTACTGCTTGCCATCAGCGGGTTGTGTACGATATCATCGACTCAGTTGAGATCAGATTCTAATACCATCGCCCTTTGCATGCCAAACCAGAACCTGGTGCGAGAGAAGATAAGTTTGGACATCTTGGAAGCCGCTCGCTCATTGAGTAGAAGTGCTGTCTTCTTGTTGACAATATCAAGGGCTTTGAGCAGCTTATTGCCGCCCTCTTTATAACATGCATCGCCATTCTGACTGTATCTTCTAGTGGCGATGAGCTGAGCAGGAACCTCGAGCTCGGAACGATGGAGATTTCCCCAAGTACCATGACGGGGGACTCTGCAGGTGTCATGTTCAGTCTTTCTCCTCGAAACTCAATCTTCTTGACCTGGAACTATAGCCGTCGAACCTGGCATGTGCTACCTGAGTGTTTCTTCACTCAACTCGCTCGATCCGGTTAATCGTTTGCGCCAACACGAGCCACATTACACGCTCGTCTACAAAATTGCTAGACCACCGAACAAAACGCATACGACAGCGTCGCATCTCCGTTGGTATCAGATTTTCCAGACGGTCAGTACCCAAAGAAGACAGCACTGCACTTCCCCGACTTGGTTTCCAAACCACGACATTCCATCCGTCCGTCGCGCCGACCGATATCCTCGTACGTTCATTCCATCTACCTCACACTTCCGACTCGCCAACTCACAGTATCACAGGCGAATCGATCGCATCAACAGACGAAAGTAGCCGCCATATCCTTCGCCATGTCAGCCAACACCACCCCGAAGCGCGCCGCCAAAACCGCGAAACCCATCCTACCCGCCCCTTCTTCGCCCCTGAACCTCGCCGCGTCCCCGTCCTTCAGTCTAACCAAGATGACCTGGGACGCCGCCAACGACCGCAAGCTCTTCCTCCTCATCTTCGGCCGTACCGTCACCCCCGCCGAATACCCGCAACTGTCCAAGGTCTTCCCCGGCTCCAGCGTCGGTAGTATCAGGAACCGCATCACCGCTCTTCGGGCTGAGGCGCGCAAGATGCAGGAGGGCTTGGGATATGAGGTAGGCGCCGGCGCGGCGGCCAAGAAGGTCGCTGCTGCTACCCCCAAGAAGCGAGGTGCTGTGGTGGTCAAGAGGGAGGCGGACGCCATGGACATGGATGAGGAAGACGAAGATGAGGATATCGTCCGTGACCCGAGCAAGAGGATCAAGGCCGCTGTGCGCAAGCCACAGGCTAAGAAGGACAGTAACCTTAGGAAGAAGGGTCGTGGAGGCGCCGGTTCTAGTCTTCTTCACCATGGATCGTCTGACAGCGAGGATGAGCTTGCCTTGATGGGTGAGGACAAGGTCAAGCGCAGGCCTGTGCCCGCTGGCGTCCCCTACATGGTGGTCGGAGAGTCGGTCATCAGGGATCCCAGGACTGGCGATGCCATCGTTGATGACGAGGGTGATGAGGATGAAGTCTAGCTATGTACTGAAGCAGACCAAACATGCGCTGGTGGACACTGGTGAGAGGGGGGAGGTGGTATACGTGGCGGAACAATGGACCAGATGGTTCGATACAATTCACCTCATCGTAGCCGACCATAGCACTACTTTCCGAATCCATCACTTGTTTCATGTCGTATCGCCTGGTTGAACTATGCTTCTCACAAATATTGACGTTCTCTACAGCGTTGTGACACGTCGGCAAAAAGACCTTTTGCCGGATACATATGCGTCGAGTGGTGTTCTAGATGATAGAAACCTTGTCGGTATGCTCATGGGCTCACGCATCAGAATAAGATGTCATGGTATTCTCGTGGTCATTTTCGTTCATTATCTATCGTACATCAGAGGGCTGCGCCCGGGGTATCAAGTCTATGGAAGAGTATGCGAAAGCCGCTATCATGGCGAGCCGAACGCGGGTATCATCTTTGCCTCCTGATCAAAACCTTAGGAGAGCCTTGGTATAGCCACTCTAGCACTTCTTGTTTTTTGTGCGCTTTGCGGCGACACCACTACCCTGTTCTCCGCTCTCCGCTCGACCTCTCTTGCTGTTCCGGGTTGTTCGCGCACCAACCGGAGTTGCGTCTTCGCTAGTAGGTGCGCTGACGTTGCCACTACTACGTGTCTGCCGCTTGCTAACTGATGTTGCGTTGTCGCTGGTGTGTCGCGCACGTTTTTCAACGTAGGCAGTGTCCTTATCATCGTTCGCCTCGAGACTGGAAGAACTACGGTCATTGTCGTCGATGGAAGCAGGTGTCGAGGCGAGCTTGAAGTCATCGGCCTTCTCTTGATAGTCCTCTGAGGCCTCCATGATGTTGCAGAGTTCTTGGTGTGAGATCTTGATGTTGTAGTCGGAAAGAGGAACGGTGGTAGACGGCATCAAATCGGCCAGGCTGAGCCGGAGATGAGCGCGGGGACGAACAGGGCCTTCCTCGTTCTGGAAAGAGATAGCGCCATCGGGACTGTCCACGAACAATTGACCCTCGCCATCGATGCTGCTACGGAAGATCTGGTAGGTAGCCTTCCTAGGCTGAAGGCGAAGCGGCTTGCGCTGTTCAGGATGACGATATTCAATGTCGATACCAATCATAGTTTTGACCCGACCCTTGGTGCCGATGATGTATATATCAGCTCTCTTGGGGAAGGACTTTTCTCCGTTTTCGCTATGTCCAACCTCGCCGACTAATGTGGGTGGATACTCTCCGGAGTCGATAGCGATATCAGGATAACGAGAATCAGTCCCGAACACGGTGACCTTAATCTCGCCGGAGTTCTCCAGCTTGTCAACCATCGCCTGTAGCGCCGCATCTGCTGGGACTCCTTGTACCAATGCCGTGACCTTCTTCACTACAAGATTGCCGAACTTATAGCCGATTTTATCGTGAATTGGCTCGGCCATCTTCAGCTCTAAGCTCTGGTTCTGAGCCTCGTAGTGGCAGCGAAGCTTCTCGTCACTCAAGAGAAGTTCATCTTGCAGTGCGAGCCAGAGTTCAGGGGGAACACGAAACTGCTGACTGATCTCCTTGCCAATCGACTTGTGGCGGCGAAGATAAAGGAGCTTTTCGCAGAGCTCGCGAGCCTCCTTCTTGATCGCGGGCTCGGGTGGAGATGACTTGGGCGGAGAGAGCAGCTTAGGAGGGCTTGTAGGGGGAGGAGATGAGGTCGAAAACTGATAGAGATACGAGCGCTCGCTGTCGCTGGAGTCGCGCATGGTAGAGTTCATGGTGGGGTGTCGCGCGGAGGAAATGCGAATTTGCGGTATATAGTCGGTGGTGCGATGCGTACTAGCCGTAATAGTGCATATGTAGTGAAAGGCAGCAATGTTCATGGGTGGCGTTTTGTACGTGAACGGGCTAGCGTAAGCGTGCTTGGCGTAAACAGCCCCACCCTGTATTCACGGAGCCTCCCACCCGCCTTATGCGAAAGGAAGAATGATAAGGTACGATGCGGTCTACATCAGGACGAGACTAAAGGTTCAACCAGTTCTTGAGACATTATAGCCTCCACACCTCTGCAGGTCGTGCTCACTGGCAATGAATACACTGGCGTTCACGAAGAGATCAAGGACGTATATCCTCGTTTCGTCGCTGTTGATTGGGGCCCGGTTTCTTCGTTCAGTCTCCGCATTTGCCATTCGACCCACTCGCATTCCTGCAGACCCCAAAGCTATCGCAATTATACCCTATACCAAAGTAACTAGGTTAAATCTCAATAATCCAGCCCGAAGCGGGACCAGACCGCATTCTTAGTCAAAGGCGCACTCGATTCTTTTTGAACTCATGCAGTAAAATGTATGGATACGTGGCACACTCATCCCAGAGATGCCAAAGAAGTAATGTGTACTTTGAGAGCATAACATGGTCTAGTACTTCAGTCCAAGTGGCGTGATAACAGTACCTCCTTCTGTAAGACAACAGAACAAGTCTTGTCAAACGACAGCTTCAAGGTACATACAATACCTAGAGCTAGATCTGATAGAAGAGTATCGCATGCGCATCGAATAGCAAAGAATACCGGAATGAAATTCAGCGCTAGAGATATCTGTCTCTTGAATCAAAAGCCATATCACATCTTACACGGGAGGCTATGCGATCAACGACAATGTAAAAATCGTGTAGAGAGCTCAGCCATCGCCACGAAGCTGCCAAGATGTACGAGACTGCGTCTTTATGATTTCGGTCATGATATTAATAAAGGCTGTTCTGACCCGTCAAAGTACCGTACATCGCTTCTGTGCATGCATGCAGTCAATGCGGAAGCGCACATCGATAACCCCAGCGGTCCTCTCCACTGCGTAGCCCCTGTCTTTACGACATGGAAAACCAAAGCATAACTGCTCACCAAGTTCTGCGCTTTTTGGTATATACTCCAGCGTACGCCTGTAATTATGAAGTCTCAATTTCCGTATTCGACATAAACACCACATAGCATAACGTATCGCAGGGATGTTGCGATAAGTGACGCGCATTCAGAATGTTGTTATAGGCAAAGTCTATTCCCTGATTGTGACCTCACAGCCAAGTATCGCGCCTTGCGATCGCGACGACCCATCGCAATATTGCTGAATGCCAATTTCATCGTTCCGTTGCGCTTGACAGGGATTTCCAGTATGAAGGCGATCACAGCATCTGGCGAAGGAGACAATTGGTAATCGATATCGGTATCAATCGTAGCGAGCACCCAGAAGCTGCCCAGTGTGTACATGTGGAATTCACGAGCTTCATTGTTAAGCCAGGGGTATAAACATGACGAAATCGAAACAACAGGCTTGACGTCTAACACGAACTCATCATCTACTCTCCCTCCAGTGGTTCCTTGAGAAGATCTTCCAGTACTTCAATGGAGAGTTTAGCACTTGGTTTGCCCAGCCACAGCTCCGCTATTCGCATCATATCATCCGCTGTCAAGAGGACTTGATTTGCCTTTCGAGAACAATCCTTCGCCTCCTCTACCTCCCTCGTTGCGGCGCCCATCTTCTCAGCCCACGCTCCATATTGTGTGACACGATGCTCTATCTGCCTGATTTCCGCTTCGCACGCATCTTTCATGGCTTCTAGTTTGGTCACGTCCTGGGTCGCCGAGGCTACCCCTAAGCGGGCGAAGTTGGTGATCGCCGTGATGTCTCCTGCGAGATGGTCATTGTAGTCCTGGGTAGCCTTGAGCTTAGCGGAGAATTCCGTTTTGATTTGTTCCAGGCTATCTTCGCTTGGCAAGGTACTCAGCTGCAGTGCTTTCTGCGCTTCCAAAGCATGACTACGAGCGGTCTCTTGCGCCTGGGCAAGATGAAATGTAGCTTGAGAGTTGTCTTCCTTGGCTGACTGGATTTCTTTCTTCTTCTTGACAATGATGTGCATGACCGCGCGGAAGTCCGGATCCTGCGCGAGCATTTTGAGTGACATGAGGTCTATACTATGGACCGGGGTGGATGGCTGGATGATATCGTCGCCCCCGAATGACGGGTCGTCCTCGGTGACACGAGAAGTGTCTAGGTCAGTGATGCTGTTACGATGGAAGGGACTCTCCTGATTGTTGAGTGTGTCCTGAAGGTCTTCTTCTTGGAGTGTGCTATCCTGGAATGACAGTGAGTCTCGATGGTCTTCAAAGAGGCTCGTGTCGTCGTCTGGTAATTCTGATGGGCCCCGTCTAGGTCGCTCGACTGATTGCGAACGCGAATGATCCCGAGGATTAGCTGGTGTCCTTGGTATCACTGCACGCCGTTTGCGATTCTTCTTTCTGTCAGGCGAGTTAGATAGGCGATTTTGACGCTTCTCAAGGCGGCGCGCCCGCTCAGAAGAGACGTCTGCGGCCAGGGTGTCGTTCGATCGCTTGTCCCTCCACGCGATGAGGTCCTTGAAAAATCGCCACGACTTGCAGTCCAGACGCTGAGCCTGTGAAGGTGAGAGCACGCTGTCAGTGCATGTGACAGGTCCAACTGTGGCTCAGATACGTACAGTCTGACCGAAGTAGGTCGGATTAGTAGGATCGTATCTCCGCTGGACACTGATGAGATCTTGACGCCTGACCTTGTCGAACGCCTGGAGCTCAGCGACAACGTCTGAGAGCGGTTGCGCAGCTTTCGAGTACTTGTTCAGGTAAACGGCAAGGTTGAACGACGGTACTTGCTGGATCCGGATTTGGTGTCGCTGGAGGACGGTCCACCAGTCTGCGCCCCAGTGTTCGTTGACACCCTTGATATTGTGCCAGACGTCTTGGAAGCTCTTGCAGCCACCTGTCTCTCCGAGTGAAGTTTGAACGCGCTTCTCGAAAGCCTCAAGGTCCTCGCAGTAGTAGTCCTGGAATCCCAGCACGAGCGCGGCAACGCAGACAGCCTCTTTGGTCCATACAAGGTCGTCGAGGGTCCGCAGATCAGCCAGCGGCGTGGGCGCGGCGGTTCGGTCGTGCGGGCTCAGCGCACTCTGGGCAAGGCGAAGCTCAAACACACGGCGGGCGTTGCTGGGTGTGTTCGGCATGATAACGCATGTTGTTCGTGTTGTGAGATGAGGTCGCGTCGCGGCCGATGGCGACCAATGAGAAATACACGCTAACTAAAAACGGACTAACGCCACGATCAAGAAGAACAACGGAAAGAGCAAGTGATAGTGGCTGCTAAGGAGCCTGTAGCCGGGCAGATATTACAGCAAGAGTCTCTAGCGCTGAGGTGAGGAATGTTGAATGCATAGTCAAACCAGTCTGGGGTGCGGGGCGATAAACATCAGTCGCACCGTCCATTTCCTCGCCTCACCCTATAATCAAGATACTTCCGACAACTACAGCACATGTACCACTCCCCACCACTCGGTCGGTGATCCCGAATTTACTGCGACGCTCTTCGCAGGTCGTATGGCCACGGCCGCCTATGCCAGCTCTCACACAGGCGCGCCCCAGGCCGCCCTCAACCGCCTCGCAAGCTGAATGTCCTTCTGCTGAATCGTGACGCGCTTGGCGTGAATGGCGCAAAGGTTGGCATCGTGGAACAGGCCTACTAGGAAGGCTTCGCTCGCTTCTTGCAATGCCACGATAGCTTGACTCTGCCAGCGCAATGGGCCATCGATACGCGAGACGCTTAGGGCAACCTCGCGGACTACCCGCTGGAAGGGCAACTTCAGCAGCAGAAGGTCGGTAGATTTCTGGTATCGTTTGATCTCGCGCAGGGCGACGGTGCCGGGCTTGTAGCGTCTCTTTGGTCTGGGAGCGGGTGGAATACCGTGATGATTCCGTGGTTCCACGCGGGCTCCTCGGGCTCCTCGGGCAGGCCTCCTGCTTCCAGTCATTTTAGAGATAAGCGTTTGGCGTATTTGATAGCAAGGTATGGGTGACAAGAGAAGAGAACGGCCTGGGTGTCTGTATCCGTTATGCCGTGCAAGCAAAAGATCAAGTGCATGGGATCATTCTGCGCGTAAGGTAGACATGGTTCGTGGTCCAAGTACTGTCGCGTTCTTTGTGTCTGCATGCGTCCATGGCGTAGCCAAGGCTGGATGTATACCAGGGATGTGCGGATGCGGAGGCCACTGGTCTTCGTGAAACAGGGTATTGTGACAATGGCCGCGGTATCATATGCATCTGCCATGTTGAGCCGACCCATGATATAGGTTGTCGAGACACAGCCTTAGAAGCGCGCAACGCGAATGAAGGTCGTGGAGGCTGGTAGAAGAGACCCTGTCGTAAAATTAGAGCTCGAGATTGAGCGTGTCGCATCGGTGCAGTATTTGAGGAGATGTTCTGGCAGCACAGCGCTCCAACGGAGAGACGCTTGTCTTCATATTGCGGTCGTGCGCGACAGCACAAAGCGAAAACGGGATGGATGTCAAGACGTGGGCCGGCGAAGTGACGCGCTGAGGTGGGAGCTGCTCCGCGCTAGATCAAATGCGGCGGCTGCTCGGCTGAGCCGAGGCCCTTCCATCACCTCGCGTGCGCGTTGATTCTCCTGCGCCTTGGAACTATCTCATCACGGCTTTGGCCAGATGAAGCATCTACGAACTAACGCTCAGGAGTGACATAGACACGTCAAGTTCCGCGTGTCCGGTAAATCTGGGGCGGGCTGAAGGGTACGCCTGGAGGCATTCTCTCATGCCACGCGCGTTGCGGAAGAATGGACAGGTAGCGCTGGAGGTTCTCACCAAGGCTTCCAGCGTCTTGGAAAATCTCACCGATAACCCTGGAGGTATTTGATGATGCTGCGATAGTCACGGAAAAGTTAGTATGAAGGCCTGAGGGTATTTACTG